ATTTTCAGAGTAGCAGGCTGAAATGTGTACTTTCAACTTTTTATCTCAGCAATTAAAATTGCATCTGACATAACAACATAAAAAAGCAACTTCAGATTTGATGAGAATTTAATATTTTATCTAGAAAACATGCTGAATGTCAGTAAGAATTGAGTTTTGGAGGCAAGCATCAATAGTTAAAACAACTGATCTCTTGGTAAAAATCATTGAGTATAAATCTGACCTTCCAGACAGATGCATTATAACATCTAGTCCTATAATAATTAATATACATGTTTATGTGTATTAATTCCTATGAAGGAAGATGTATATCTCAGCCTGTGTATTCTAATGAGCTATCTGAGTAATGTATTGTGTACTGAATATGTGAGCCTTTATTCCTTTTAGATCTATGTGTTTATTTTATAAACTTTAAAATAAAGTTTAATATTATTAGGTGTGCCTGGAAGTCAGCAAACTTTGGTATTTAAAATACAACTTTCTAAGTAATTCTAAGATGCTTAAAACTTCTTAAAAACATTTAATTTAAGATTAAAGCTGTAGTTCTACAATAGTATTTCTTAAAAATTATAGAGTTACACTTATATGACTTCTTGAATGCAAATCCTTTTTCTGAGCTTGTATGTAGATGTCATTTAGAAGGAAGTTTGGGATCTTTTGGGAAAGAGTCTGTAATTCATGTTCATTTTTGGCAGAGAAGGAAGGCTTGTCTTCAACTTCATTCACTCAGAAGAGGAAGTTTTTAATAGCCCTTATTCCTAGGGGACTCTCTTTTGCTCTAACTTGTACTAGGCCCTGAAATAAAATTGACACTGAACTCCACTGTCTATATTGTAATCTAGTTCTATATTCCTTGCAGAATTGTCACACTTTACACTTGTTTATTGGTGTATGGTTACTATTACTGTGATAATTTAGAGAACATGCTTCCAGGTTCAGGCTTCATGTTGGATTCTCTCTGTTACCAGCTCTGTTACCAGCTCTGCTGGTTACGTTCATGTGGTCTTTCAGAACTACAACACAGGCTTATTGCTCCATCCTGTCAGAGCCAGTATATCAAAAAAGTCAAGAAATAAGGTCTAGGAAAAAATGTACACACAAGTTATCTTGAATCACTCCAGTATCTCTTAGGTTGTTGAAAGAAAAAACCTAAAATGCTCTTCGTCCCATTTATCTGTTAATCTGGCATTTGAGTGTTTGGCAAAGAGAACTGAACTTGCATGCAAAAGACTCATCCCTTTGCAGTCCCCCTTCTTTTTTAATGATGGTGGCTGCCCATACAGAATATACACTAGCTATAGAGTAAGCATTCATCTGAAGCTTGTCATGGGGTATGTGGTATACTCCCTCTAGCCACAATTTTTTCCTTTTTGCGATAAAGCAGTAGAAATACCATACCATGGGAATGGAGAAGTACTTAAGAGAGATGCTAAGAATGCAAATTTTATGGCTTCCTTGTGGTGATCCTTTGATGGGATTTGAAACATCTTTCCTTTGTAATGAAATGCAGTAGATTCTCCGTTTATGGACACGATGTGGTTAACATCTCTATCACTTCTAGGCACAGAAGAGTTTTTGTCACTTGGGACAGATGTATTCTGTTACAGTTGAGCACTCATAGCTCCCGTGTTTTAGTAATCTCTTATTTGTACAGAAAGTGCATAGCTTGTACTTTAATTGTCTTGTTTTCAGTGCTACACACACTTTTGTTTCTTGATATTCAATGGCTCACCTTTTGAGGGAGGCCTTCCCATTGAGTCATGAGGTTCAGAAAGGACCTCCTTGCTTTCTAAACTTCTTCTTGGAGAGGAGCCTAGGTGCAGCTGGAAACAGTCCTAGTCCCATACTCAGTCGATGGTTTATATATGAAGGATTATGTGTATAGCCACTTATTAGAGTCAATATTTGCCTGTTTCAGAGCCCTACCAAGAATTTTTACTGAGGTGATTTCATAAATTTGAAAAGATAGGTAATTTATTAAGGCAATAGATATTACAGATATGTAATATATTGATAAATTCACTTACTGTAAAGATTGAGCTTGAGTTAATTGTTCAGTGCTTTAGTTATCCATATTTTCCCAGGTAACATCTGTCAGAGTTGGAAGTGAGTCTTAGCAAAGAGGCATCCCTGCTTGGGAGGGAGAGAGGTCCAGGCCTGTTGACCCGTCTGATAATTGGAGTTACCATCCTCAGAAATAGAGGTTTCTGAATACCAGATTTAATTCTGGTGAGGTGGGACTTGGTCATTTATTATGTGCTGATCAGCTCTCACCAGGGCTTGTTGCATTGTTTGGTCAAGAAGAAAGGAGGAGGAGGGGGTGTTCCTTACAGAGACGGGTTGCTTTCCCAGCTTTACTTGAAATGTCAGGCTGTGAGGCTCCTGTCTCATCCCAGACATCACTTAATTGCTGTATTTGCAGGGCCTGTTGTTCAACTGCAGACCTCCAACATCTGTCTTGCTCTTTGACCAGATGAGCAAGATATGCATGTTAATCAACTCACATTCCTGCTCAAGCCTGGTTTCAGCAATTCTCTGCTGATTTAGGTACTTTGACATCAACGAGCCTGGCAAAATCCCACACCTTTATGTGACATTCTATGAGCATGGCTGTGTCCCTTATGTGAATGCTGAGGATCTAACTGTAAATATCAAATACCACTTCTTGCAAATAGCAAGTAGTTCTTCCCTTTTCCTGTGGAAGATGGATATTGAAACTTAAAACACAGAAATTGTTCTGGGGATACAGTGCACGCTGTCCTTGCAGCAGGGCACATGCTACATTCATCAGACAAAAGACTTGAAGGGAAATCCTTGGAGGGAAATGTGGAGCTTTAGAGGGTGCGCTTTTTCCACTTATGCAGCTTTTTTAAAATCATGCTGGAACTGAAAGTGCTGTTGATCTTGCTTTACTTCATCCTTCTTGTAAAAATTGAGTTTTCATACTTAATCACTAAAACATGACAGAAAAATATCTGAAGCACGTACCACCTGTTTTTCCTTTCATCTTGATTCATTCGCTTTCTCGTATTAAAACCCCTCCAAGACACAATTAACCCTTTTCTAATGCTGTGAAGCTTGAAATAATCATTAAAACTCATTAAAGGAGAAAAACTTGCTTTCAAAAGCAGCTTAATATTACATTTTCCTAATTTCTTTTCTTGTACATACGGTAGAATACTTAGGATATGGCCATCACACTTACAGGCTTAACTGACTATTCATGTAATTAATGTTAATTGGTTGCTTTGCATTGCAGAATTATGCTCTGTGCTAGAAGATCCTTTGATAAAATAACTCTCTGTAATGTAATGTTGTCTTCTGAGTATGGACTATCTCATAACAATATTGTCAGCAAGTCCTTTGTCTAGTAAGAAGAAATTATAATTCAAAATAAAAATATATTAGCAGAAGTCTTGATTTCCCCTTTCCTGCTTATGGTCTCCCGTACTATGAATTGTGCTGTTGCCACAAAGTGCACACCTACTTACTTTTTTTCATCATTTAGTGAATTATTTTTGTTTTAACATCTTTGAAAGCACAGACATGCAGTCAATTGTATTTTAATACTGACTTCACTGCTCCATGTAGACATAAGTAAAGGTTGAATTTGATCTCACTTACAGAAACAAACAAACAAACAACAACAAAAAACACTTTTTCTTTTTTAACTCTGTAAGTTGCCTAGTCTGTTTCTAGCATTATATGAACAATCTTAAAATTTATTAATTAGAATAGGCAGAATTCAGAATAGCCTTCCAATCTCATAAGTAGTGTTATTTAAAATTTGCTAGTTTTTGAAAGATGAAAATGACTGATCACCAAGACAAGTATTGTGAACTGAAATGGTGACTTCAAAGCAATAAATTGCCTTGGGTTTTACTTTCTGACAGGTATAGCAATAAACTTGTCATGAAGCACTATAAAAGCATTGATTTATTTGTATATTAGAAGTAGTATAATGGAAGATTTGCCAGTATGGTTGTAAAGTTTGTTATGTATTTTATTAAACAATTTGAATAACAGATATTATAGGGTATCACACAATTATAAGATATTTTATGATCTACCTTTTACTGAAATAGAATATTCATCAGGAAAATAGTGTGGTTATTTAGCTTATTTCTGACAAAGGTGAGCATACTGAATCTTTATTTGGGTCATTTTTTGCTAAACTTCTATTTTTGTCTTAAAACTATGACATAAAGAGCACTGCCAAAATGATGCACCATTGAATATTGCAAACCACATTTGGTAATTTAAGATTAAAGCTATTAGCTGTTTTCTAAAATATCCTAGTTGGAAACAATTGCCTTTAAAAATGCTTTAAAAAATATGATCTGAACTATTTATATGCTGCAAACATTAGTTATTACATACTTAAGTAGATAACTACTAAAAGTGTATTTTCAGAAGTGCTGAGCATTGACCTAATTCAGTCCAAAAGGAACTGAAAATTGAGAGTACTCAGACCAGTCCTTTCCATGTAGCTAAATGATGATATTCTTATCTGTCTCCTCAGTGAAGTTAAGGTAAAATTCTACTTAAAATTACAAACTGCAAGACTGAGAGATATGATAATAGCTTATCTATAGGCAGATGTGAAAGCTGTAATCCGCTGGGATTCCTCTTTGTTGATAGAAAGGAAGTTCTGATAGAGGCAAAAATTTTGGAAGAAAAAGTGATTTAAAGAGAAAGTATATTTGATGCATCCCTGCACAGAAATATGGCACAAACATGAATGGAAAATTTCAGGATGAATTGTTATTTCAAGAAATAATACAAGTGATGAAAATGTATTACTGATTTCTGCCTTGTTAATAAAATGCCCTAATTCTAATCAACCACGCAATTATTTCAGATATTTACAGCTTAGCAGATATGCATTCAGAATGCAAAGCTTTCTCAGCTAGACGATGATTAGCTCTAACTACTTATCAGTACATTGAAAAAATTATTCTCATTCTTTGATTAAAGTTGTCCTTATCTTTCTTCTTAAGATATGGAATGCTGTAGACACAGGCTGTTGTCTGAAAACATTTTCCTGTCACTCCTGTGCTGTCCGAGCTGCTCAGTGGTCATCTTGTGGACAAAGGATCCTCAGTGGGGGCTTCGACTCCATGCTGCATTTAACCGATGTGGAGACAGGTAAAGGCCACACTCCGGTACATTTCAGCCCTACTTGTTACCTTTGTTGAATACTATTAACTTTGGATCTCATTAGCATTATTCTTCATTTGAAACTACAGATACAATCTATAGATCAAAGTTAGAATTCTTGAAACGTCCTCACTAAAAATTACTCAGCAATTAAGGGTAGTTTGAGATACTTAAGAAGACTGAAATATCTTTAACCTGATGATTACATGTAGTTTCTGTTGTCAGATACTGCACAAATGAACAGAATGAAACTAGCATATTTTTTATGCTCTGTTATTCATTAAAATGTTTGCAGAACTTGTTAAGGTTGACTTCAGTAACTTTTATGCATATGGTTAACTTTAGAATTATAGAGAGTAGGAACTTAAATTCTGATGTGAGTTCAACATTCCCATTCACAGTTCAAGGTCAACAACTCCACTCACAGAATTATAGAATGGCCTGGGTTGGAAGGGACCTTAAAAATCAGCCAATTCTAACCAGCCTGCCATGAGCAGGGACACCTCCCACCATATCAGGTTGCCTAAAGCCCCATCCAGCCTGGCCTTGGGCACCTCCAGGGATGGGGCATCTACAGCTTCTCTGGGCAGCCAGTGCTTCACCACCCTCTGAGTGTAAAATTTCCTCTTAACAGCTAATCTAACTCTCCTCTCTTTTAGTTTAAAACAATTCCCTCTTTCCTATTTTTATCTGCCCAAGTAAAAAGTTGCTCTCCATCTTTTTTTATAAGTCTCCTTTAAGTATTGAAAGGCTGCAGTGAGGTTTTCCTGGAGCCTTCTCTTCTCCAGGCTGAACGTCCCAACCTCTCTCAGCCCATCTTCAAAGGAGAGGTGCTCCAGTCCTCTGATCCTTGTGGCCCTCTTCTGCACCTGCTCTAACAGCCCCACATCTGTCTTGTGCTGGTGGGCCCCGGCCTGAATGCAAGGCTCTGGGTGGGGCCTCACAAGGGCAGAGCAGAGAGGGACAAAACCTCCCTCGCCACTCTGCTGATGCAGGCCATGGTGCTGTTGGCCTTCTGGGCTGCAAGTGCACCTGCTGGCTTATGTCAAGCTTTTTCATCTACCTGAATTCCCAACTCCTTCTCTGCAGGACTGCTCTTGATGGGTTCTCCCAGTCTGTGCTCATGCCTGGGAGTGCCAGCACCCAGGTGCAGCAACTTGCACTTGGACTCGTTGAACCTCATTCAGTTCACAAAAGCCTACTTACCAAGCTTGTCCAGGTGTTCTCAGTCCCTGAGTCTGAACCTGCATTGTTTTGGTGAAGTTGTGAATTTCATTTGATTTGAACATCCTGGATGTTCTGTCTCTCCATGTGTCCTTCACAAGCCAAAGTAATTCCATCAGCATTACTTATCTTCTCCTTTAGCTATGTTATCAGCATTCATCCAGTGGAGTTCTTTGGGGCTGTTCATAACAGGATACGTCTCTGTGTCTATAAATACAGGATTAGGCCTCAGTTCAGCAGCAATTGAAGAAATGAAATTTTATTCCTTTATACTTAATTTTTAAATACCTAATTCCTGCAAACATTCTATATATATAAATGTATATGTACTGGAAAAGAGATCCTAAGGTAACTGTAAGAAGTTTTTGTCTAGGAGGATTTTCTCTTACATAATATTAAGTAAGTTGTATGCAAATATCCAGAGAGCAGAAATCCCATTCAGATAGACTGGGAAAGTGGCCAAGGAAATTTGTGAATATTGTTCACATCAATACTGGATTCTCTGCCATGCTCTAGGAATTTATTTTTCTCAAGATTTGTCATACCAGAAGTATTTAAATTCAATAATGGCTGGAAGGGAAATGTTTTAATTTGAGAATGTAAAACATGTGACACAGTTATGGAATATTGATGTTTTCAGAATATTCAGGCTTTGTAACAGTAAGAAGAACTTTATATATCTTGTGTAGTACTGTTACATGAGGTTAATACACCCAGCCATTAATTTTATTAGAATTTTTATCTTTTTTATTTTCAGTCTTCATTGTAGCAATCTTCTCATTTCTAGTTTCATATATAACTGAAATTTACTAATATAAGTGGAGTTAATTTTTGACTCAAGTGGTTATAAATTCTAAACAGAGTGGCTATTCAAGGGATTTATAGTGGTAGAACACATTTTATGTGTCTGAGCCATTTGGAAGTCTTGCTTTATAAAACTGTGGAGCAAATTCCAGAAGTAATAGCAATGATATATTTTAATTTTGAAAATTTATCAGACATAAATTTCTCAGACATAAATGTCTAGTAATGGAGTAGTACCCTTTGTTTGTAGTGCTTCATTTGAAAGAAGGTATTTCTAGTATTTGTGGCAGTGACAACAATAACAGATTTTATTTACCAAGTTTCCAAACAGAATTTGTAAATGGCTCTTTCCTTACTGACCTCTGAGCTATGTAGTATTTCTAACTGCTTAAGTAAACTGTATGTGCAAAGGCAAAAACAATTCTCAGAAACCTTGAAAATATGGGGTATTCATTATTGGCTTATTTTAAGGACACAAGCTTCCTTTTAGCTCCTGTGAACTGCACTTGTATTTTTGATTCTTAGATCTGACTTTCAGTGATATTTTCAGTGATATCACCTGATTTGGAAAAGTATGATATGAGTAATAAGAATTTTATTGTGATTTCATATACATCCAGGCCATTTTATTCTGTGTTGTAAAGTTACTCTCTCTTTTTTTTTTTTTAATCATAATTTCAGTCAATGCTTTCCAGAGAAACAGGGCAAGCAGTTTGCCTCTGGAATTCAAATCAATTTGATATAAAAAGACTCATTTCCATTTGAAAAACACTGAGGCAGCTATAAGATTTTGATTTACATTAGTTCACTGAATCATTCATTCCTTCTCACTCTTCATCAGTGCTGAGATGATTTCTTCTTTGATTAACTTCAGATAGATGTTAGAACTGTTCCTTCACAGAGGACTTTTACATGCTTTTTTGGACTTTGGTCTTAATTACTTTCCATTGCTAGACTGAACTAACTAGCAACGTGTTTAAGTGCAGTAAATGCATGCTGGTGGGATTTTATAGATAATTCTGTCTTTAAGGCTCTGTGCTCATCTCTTGTGTACATTGTTCTGGTTCAACAGTTTTCTAGTCGTTTGCTGAAGTTTAATCTTTCTCATCTTAGTTTTCAGTATATTTTTTTCTATATTACATCTGTGTTACAAAAATCACTATGTCTTCTTCATCCAAAGAAACCTAACAATCTGAAGAAAATGACTTTTAAAAGTTTAGGAACAGTTGCAAACACAGCTTAGGATGTTATTATTATGCATAGAGAAGACAGTGCCAGAATCTTCCCAGAGATGCTCAATGAAAGGATGGGAGACAAAGAACAAACATAGGAACACAGAAAACTTTGGCTCAACTCAAGGGTCATCAAGCACTAAAATGGGCTCTCCAGAGAGGCCATGCAGTCTCTGTACTTGGAGATACTCAGAACTGCAGTGGACTGGTCCCAAGTAACCTGCTGCAACTAGACCTGCTTTGAGTAAGCGATTAGCCTAGATGATCCCTGAAGGCCCAGCCTGCATAATTCAGTGATGCTATAATGAAGGATGGGGAAAGAAAATAATTCAATGATGGGATACAAGGAGTTAACTTGCCCTGGTTTAGTGAATATGAAATTAGATGTTGTTGTCAAGTCTTCTAAACTCTGTTTTTATAGATCATCATTTATTATCATAAATGATTTTCCATTATCCTAACATCAGGTTGTCAAGGTAAGATTTTCCATACATACTGTTTTCTTGGAAAATGTTATACCTACTCTGCAGAATATATGCATAAAATATTTAAGGAATTCATGTGTTATTCATGTGAGTAGTTCTGTGGCTACAGTTAGCATGAGGCAAGTTCAGAGCTGCAATATGGAGTTTTGTAAGTATTAGTAGATCCAAAAATGTGATTTCCCTGTAAGGATTAATAGTTAATATAATTTTTATCATCCTATTACATATATTTTTCATTTTAAAATTAAAACCTTTTGAAAGGTTTCAATATAATACGAATGATACTAACACAGCAGTCTGTGAACCACTGAGACTCCCTGGGTTTGTTCGTCTTGCACAACACTCACATTCACTTTCTACTAGTGACAGTTCAGATAGTTTGTTGTTCATTGAGTAACAAGTAGTGCTGTATTCAGAGAGCATTGAGCATTTTGTTCCAAGAAAATTTGCTTTAAAAACAATTCTATATCAAGTCCATTTGATATTTACCATCTGTTACATCCAGATGTAACTGAGAATCTCTAACAACTTTAGAAGGGGAAATATATTTTTAAAATTTATTTATAACTGTTTTATTTTTGGAATATATTTTATTCATCAGTGGATTTTTCATTAGTCACAAATGAATTGGTACAACAACATAGGCAGAACATTGGCTGGATTAATATTATTTGCATATTATAGACACTTTTCATTCTTTAATATTATGACAGAGGGAATGTTCCAACAAATGTTGGCACTTTTCCTAAGTTGCCAAATGCTACAGTTGTATTTTAGTTCATAGACTGAGGTTGGTTTCAAATATAACATCCTCAGAACTATAATGGGGAATTCAAATTATTTTGAAAGATTTCACATTGCCATAGGCAGGAAATGAAGATGTTGACTTGGAAAGGAGTTTCATGTGTACATATATATATACGTGTGTGTGTGTGTGTATATATATATATATATACTTAAATCTTTTTTTTTCTTTCATTTATTTAGAGAGTTTGTTAATGGCATGTTTTTTTATCTCCAAGAGGATGGCCTACATTTGCTTTTCTATTTTCTTTTCGATTTTAATTTATTAGTCTTATAACATGATTATTGTTAATGTAATTCTGTTTGTTCAAATAGAAATGTTAGTGCTCATACATAAACATCACCTTAGGAGAGCTGTGACTTTCTCCTCCTATTCCTAACTTGCTCTCCCAGTACTATGTAGATAGTGCATGAATATGCACTAATGCATATATTTTATATGACACCTCAGAAAAAAAAACAAACAGTGGATTGATCATTCCATTCCTTTTGAATGAACATGGTTATCTTTGTGAGGTCAAAAGAGTCGTCCCTCCCCCCCCAAATCTAGCAGTTATATGTTGAATATAGTTTAACGGTTACCCTCCAGCCAGGAGTTAACAGAATTTTAGTTTTTATATTCACAATTGTATGAAGTCCTTGTAATAAAAAGAGACAAAGATTACTTTTGAAATGTTTTCAAGGGTCAAAGGTAAAAGGATTTAATATTTTAAGCACCTGAAAATTGTGACTATGTAGGGGAAAAAATTAATAAATGCATGTAGCTGGTATAACTTACATCCCTGGAGATAAAAAATTTGTAAGCATGGCAAGATAAAAGAGACAAGTAACAACCAACATCAATTTGTTAAGAACAAATAACACCTGATCAATCTAATTTTCTTCTCACTGTTGCATATGAGAGAGGGATTGTGACTGTAATGGGGGTGATTTTTTTTATTGTTTCATGTCTTTTTGTAAACGCAGTAGGGAAATCCAATCTACTCTGCAAGATTACTTTTATGTCCTTGCAAGTTTTAGGCTTCACTTTACTTTACTGATTAGTGTAAGTAAGTGAATGTTTTGGATTATACATGTAGGGGTGTGAACCTTAGGACCACTAAACACAGTTACAGAAGCATCCAGTGCTCATTAACTGTGCTGATGTTCTGTGAAAAATTCACAATGTTAAATAGCCTTTAAAATATTTGATTTCATAGTTGAGCAGTTTCACAGTAGGTTGCAGCATGAAATGAGCAGAAACATATGTTCAAGATCTCTTTAAGACTTTTTTCATACTGTGTATGTTACTGGTGGGCCTTTAATGAGTGAAGAATTGAATTAAAGCACTTTAAGAATATAAAACACATTGCAAAGATGTAGTAGGTATTGTTATTGAAATTGTGAAAATTAAAGATTGCGAGAAACATTTGCTCTCTTCTTATAACAACCTCTCACAGAGGAAAATGATCCGTGACATGTTTTTTCCCTCAATTAGCCAAATCATTTTTCAGAAAATATAATTTTCTACAGCCTGTGTGTTGGTTGAGTCTTTGTTATGCTACCTGTAGGAACTAAAATGCAATAAATACATACACAATGCAGATATATACAAGCTTGCTGATTTACACCCATTGTTTTCTGTTATGGATATGGGAGTTTTCTACTAGAAGGACATCTTCTGCAATATAAAAATTAAGGCTCCAAAACATTGAATATGTATTTAATGTTAACAAACTTACAACAATATGTGTGATTGCAACTACAGATTACTAGAAATGTGTAGCAGGATCTCCAGAAACCGTTAAAGGTGGACTTCCCAAGGTGTGGGGCTGGTTTCCATCACAACACAGTTACACATGTAGTTCATTGTAGTAAAACACGCTACAAGAAATTTATACAGAAAAAGGGCTGGGAGTTAAAGTCACAGTTTTCAAATATCGAATTGTGTGAGCTATATTCTGCCACATCATCTTCCAAAGCGATGTGTAAAACCACCACAATCTCTTGGAGGGGTGATGTTTTTCCTGTTATTGAGATTCTGAAAAGATTCTGGGGATAGAGATTTCATTACCGTAGAGACCGTGACTCAGCAGTTCAGCCCTGGTGATCTAAGAACTAAGAAGCAAGAGTTTAAGGAATGTAGTCACATAAATGTTAGGAAAGTTTTGTGTTGCAGGATTCAGGCATATTTGTGTGACAAGCAGTCCTGTGTATTGGTCATAAATTTCAGTTTCAACAACCAGGGAATTTCCTTTCTGTACTGTTGTGATTCTTCCCTTTTGAGTATGCTCTCATTTGCTCCTATGCTTTTCTTTTCTACATTCCAGTCTTTTTCTCATTTTATCTGACATGGCAGTAGAATGAAATTCACGTATGCACCTAATAGTGCCAGACTTTTCGGAATGCTGTTCACTGAGCTTCCAGAAAAAGAGATTTGATTAAATTTCACTTTGCAGGGAGAAAGAATGAGACTGAGAGGTGTAATTTAGATGATTAATTAGAGAGTCTGAGCTTTTCAAGTTACTACATCACAATTGATCCTCAGACCAGTGGAAAAGGTAGCGTGGTTGATATCTGCATCAAACAGTAAGGTACAATCACAAAATCAGAAAAGGGGGGAGCTTAAAGAGTGTTGAGGAGAATAAGATGCTCATGTTGTTTGCATGAATTCTGTTTGTACAATTACACCGTAGTGTGGAATTCATACAGTTGCACTGTAATGATCTCAGGACTATTAGTGACTGTCACTGAGAGCTTTTGGGTAAATAACCAAATTAAGACAAGATGACAAGAAAAGGGCAAACACAGTAACTGCATCTATCTTTAAAATGGGGGAAAATGAAGTACGGAAGCAGAGAATTTAAGTTTCTGCAGAAAATGTTGGGCAAATGACCAAATTACTTGGAAGTAGCTGGGGATGAGATTGAAAGATGGACTAATTAATAACAAATGGTGTCAAATCAATCTTACTTCTTTCTATGGAACGGCAACAGATCTTGTAGTCAGTAGATGAGATGCATCTTATATTTAGTGCAGATCCTTTCTGGTTGTATCTTACTTGACTTTCTCATGCCTTAGGCTAGAGAAAATGCTAGGGCATTTGTAAAGAGCAAAATAGTGAGAGAAATGTATCCATTATAGATAGAAAATGCAGTTTTCATAAGTCTTGTGGAGGTAAAACCAGATCTTAGTAAAGTCAGGTAAGCAATTAATGTTTTTCAGAATGTGAAGTGGTGAGTTCTATTGGATCTCTTATATCTATATCTAGCGTTGTTTGGACAGTGTGCTTTCTGGAGAGTTGTTACTGCTTGTTCTGATGCTGTATGTCCTAGTTGACTGGATAAGTACAGGTAGGCTGTTGTTTTTTTAATTTCTGGCTGCAGTACCATAAAAACATATTGGTTATACTCCCAGAGTGTTTATTAAACTTGTAAGAGCCAAATTCCTTCGAAGCAAAGTGCTATTAAAATGACCAGGGAGCCTCTGTGTGCAAATTCAGTGTTTTCTCAAGAGTTCGAGATGACAGAGTAAGATGCATGCACATGTGGCTTTTCTGTAGCCTTCAAATGATGCACAGATGAGAGCAATATCTTGTTGCTCCTGTTACTGATGATTTTAATATCTTCTTCATTCCCTGTGGAGTCTTTGTTTTTTCTGCCATAGCTGTTAGGATGCTGAAAGCTCCCATGACGAAAGATGGTCACTGTTGCACAACTTGTATGAAGGGTCTCTGCTTCCCTTGTGACTTTTTTCTCCTTTTGGGGAAGGAACTTAAGGGACTGAATTAAGTCTTCCCCTCAGTTGTAACAGAGAGGCCCTTTAGATATTGCATGGGTAATCAGTGGATAATCCATTAAAAAAAGAAAAAAAAGAAAAAAGAACCTACAAAACCCTATGTTCATGCAGAACAACAGTTGCCTCTCCCCCCTTACATTCTCTGCAATCTGTTTTTGCCTGCCAATGCTAGCTCAAAGTGTACATGCATAAAGTACAATCTTTCTCTTCTTTACTTTACAATGAATAAATAAATAATTTGACAAGTCTTATTCTCTTATGTAAGCTTATTTCAGCAGAAGGGGAAAATGGAACTGATGCTGAAACCAAATAAATTGGCTCCAAATCATGAAGTAAGCAGGAAAAAATCTGTATGAATGCTTATCAGTATTGTCCACCTAACAGGAAGTATTTATACCTGTCACTATTATTTTTAAAGTATTTTCAGTAGTTTGAGACAACTCTCATTTGCTGAAAATCTAGGTTAATTAATATTTTAAGAAACTTCTGTCATAGTATGTTTGTGTTGTTTTTTATTGTTTATTTCTGTAGCACTTCTTCATTGTGGCTTAGGCAATAATTTTATTTAATGTAGATCTTTACATGTGATATGTAGAATATAAAGGACATTGAAATTAGGAAACAAAATAAATTTATTTATCTTGGTCCGTGCTGCTATTTCAAAATAATATTTCAGTGAACGTATGTTAATATCATGAATTTGTTAGCACAAAAGCAGTGGACTGTGGAAAAGTCCTATAAATTAATGTAGCTGAATTCTGTTGCCTTTGGAAGTGTCTAAAATGCAATTGATACAAACTGCAGGATCCTGTGAAGATTAGTGTGCACAATTAAATATTGGGAACAGAGTATCCATGGGAACAGCTATTGCCTTCATGTGATGGCATACAAGTTATTTCCTTCTTTCAAGATGAAGGTTCACTCTTCCCTTCACAGAAATATACGTAAACCACCCAAGAGCTGTAGTATAGTTTGGGACGTGGGATTTCTGTACAGACAGTAGTCTTTTCTTCTAGTTGTTATTTTCATCCCACTGATAAAAGACTATGGCTTCTCTTAAGCCATAGGAAAACATACATAAGGAAATATACATAAGGAAAACATACATGTGTTAGATTTGAAGATTGAGCCCTGCCTGTCAAGTAAACTGGGACCTTGGTGGTTCTCCTCTCCATCGTGTACAAAACCTGCTCATTGTCTCCTCTCAGTATGAAGCAATTGGTGGTGCAGAAGCCAGTGAGCAGGATTGATTTCACGTGGGTGGAAATTAGTGAGTTCCATCTTGTATTTTCAGGAAACTAGAGTATTCCCAGGCATTTGAAATGGGTTAATAGAAACATATTCACTTTTGACCAGCTAGGTATTTTAGAAACTTGTTTGAAATTAGTAATTATTTTCATTTTCTGATCCAATTTTAATCTTCAATTTTCACTTTATTTTAGGGAAGCAGATATTTAGCAGCAAAAATGAATTTAGGATCAGCGCACTGAAGTTCCACCCTACAGATTCAAATATTTTTGTTTGTGGAGGGTTCAGCCCAGAAGTTAAAGCCTGGGATATAAGGACTTGTAAGGTAATAGATTTTATTTTATTATATTTTTTTTCTCTTGTAGGATGTTTCCTAGGTTGAATGTGCTATGCATTACTAATCTGTTAGATGGTCTTTCAATGAAATGTTATTTGTAAGCATTTTGCATTTGTCATTGATTGTATTGCCATATGTTTATATGAACCTTTATAATGTTTTTGAAGCACGAAGAGGAACATTGTACACACAACAAACATGATTTTTTTTTGGCTTTATAAATATGGGTAATGTACAGTTGAATTAAATTAAGCCAATAGCTTGCTTCTTATTTTTTTTTCTCTTTTTTTTTTTTTTAATATTTATTTTTTTAAAAAAGGCAGTTGTGTAACTAGGAAGCTCTTTAAGTTGTTACACATAGGTCAGGGTGTGTGTGCCTGTATCTCTTGCATAGAAGCCTGGAGTAAATTTTACATGCATGAAAGGCCATGGAGAGACATATATGGTCTCTGCCTTTACTTTATCATGAACCACATAGAACATGCTCCCCTCTGTCCTTCAGAGTTCAGGTAAGACCAGAACTGTACTGTTCACCAAAAATGGAAGCATAAGCCAGGCAGACATCCACATGCACAGAACAGCTCAAAGAGCAGCAGTGACTGTAAAGTGAGTAGTTCTTTGTTTTCCTTTGATTTTCTATGTGGGTAGAGGCTGCTCGTCATAGTTAGCCATCTGTTTGCTCTTGAGGATGGCAGAAGGGATCTGAAGAAGATAAGATTGCTTAACCAAACACTGTCTCTCACCTTGATGCACTAAACAGCATAATAGGTGAGGGATGCAGGTAGATACTTCAGGTATGAGAGCTCTAACGTGAGCCATTATGGGAGTTGCTCTATTAAGGAAATACTTGGTTCCTGTGCTGCAATTGTTCCTTTGGATTTATCTCTGGTGTTTGAGAAACAGTTCAAGCTGTGTGGTGTGACTTTTTATTAATAATTGTGTAGGTTCTATACCTTACGCTTCCGTTACATGAATAGGTTATTAAAAGAACATTAGTATGTACATATCCAGAGTGCCAAGTCTGAGGCTACTCTGAAAATAAATTTAATGAGAGTTTCAGAGTTACACTGTCAGTGGGAAAACCTTTGTGATGGAATTTATTCCATGCATCATACTTGTATGATGAGCCGTTTTCCGTGATAAAGGATATGAAGAAATACTTGAAGCACAGTTCCATGACAAAAGATAATTGTAGTTTTAGTTTGCAAAATAGTAAATATGTGTTATAAAGAATACCTATGTAACTTTTAAAAAGTTATGAGACTTCTATAGTAATTCTTCTCTCCTTCCTGTCTTTCACTGGTATACGGTATTCTGGTATTGCCACTAAAGTGATTTTGGTGTGCTGTGTTTATCATAGGGCAATTTATGGAACATCGGAGTATGTATCACACAAATGGGAAATAATGCCAGTTCAAAGGGTGTTCATTTCAAATGGTCAGAGTTCACCCTGTAAATTTAATGTAGGAAAAAGTCATTATTTTTTTTCCTATCAGGGTGCTGGAAAAGAGAGACTAGAGGAAATCTTCTCTACAGAACAGCGGTGTCAGTAGTTTCATAGTGTGCAGATGAAGTAGAGAGTACAATTTTTCTTTCCTGAGACTCTTATAACAGTAGATTTTAGTTGTGGGGAGGAGTTGCAGTCAGTAATTGAAACCTTAGCTGTACTTTTTAACATGGAGAAGACATTGAACGTCATGTTAGGATAAACTTCCCTTAAAACGTATTTCAGGAACCAAATGGATAAAACCTTTTTAAAGCTTAAAGATTGCTGACTGTAGTGTTAAATTTGAGATATTTTATCCTAGTCAAGTAGAAGATTGCAGATATGGGTGACAAAGTATTCCTTATAAAATTTTCTAACTTGGTGCAACAGACTTTTGGTAAATGACGCTGCAGTTATACACAAAGTCAAATGACACTGTGGTTGTCTACAAAGCTGGAGACGTTCTTTCCTTCATCACCTTTTGTTTCTTTATGATGCGTTTTACATCTTTGACTATCTGAAAATCCTGCAAAGATGGTTTTTCTCTAGATTTGAAATCAGCTGTGCTTGATGAGCATGTTCCTGCCAAAAAATGGCAATACTTCCAGCTTGCATGTGTCTAAGGTGCCCAGTCTCTTCAGATGGAAAATGGTAGCTGCTTGTTTCTACAGTACAAACAGTACAAATGGCCAGCATGGTATGTTGCAAAAATGTGCCTGTCTCGACTGTAGCTCCCTGGTGGAGAAAGCTATGGAGGAATATGGTGAGAAATCTTTCACAGATGGTAGGGGACAGTCTCAAATAATGATAGTGGAGAAGGCACTTCACTTTCAAGGAAAGAAATAGAGGAACCTTTTACAATGGATATTGACAGCTCAAGGGTTGCACTTCAGTAACACTTTTTACAGCAATTCTGATGCCAGAGATTGTGATGAAAAGACTTGAGCCTATGCTGAAAGACTATGTTAAATTGGCATTGGCTCAAGTAGAAGTAAAGGGCTAAATAGCAGATGTAAATGCTTGTGTTGAATAAGTTGGTTCTGAGTCATCTCTTGAGTCTGATGCTCTTCTATTGTCAATATCTCTGCCTATTCTTGGTATTCTGGTTTTGTCTTTGAATGGCGTAGTGTTGTTGCCAAGGCATATGTCTTGAAAACTTATTTTCTTCTTGGGTCCTTTTTCCTCTTTGTGAAAGTTCAGAGTGTTAATACTTTCTCATGGTGCCTTGCAAGGTATCAAGCAGTATTTTATTCCATGCAATGAAGTAACTAATTGTGTTCATCACTTAAATAAAGCTGCTCCTTCCTGTTAGGCTTTAAATTCCAGTGCCTCAGCTCAGCCACCGCCCAGACTGTGCATTTATGTCTGTGCAACCTGCTGGTAGTTCAGGTTTGTGCAAACGTAAGCTCACAAAGCAGTTCCTTGTGAACAGGAGCAGGTATAGGACAGCGTGTATTTCTTAACCCATGAAGAGTCTGCAGAACAGCATATCTACTAACTAATTGCTGTATGTTGCCAACCAGCTTAGCTTGCTGTCCCACAGAAGTATATGCATCTCCTTGCTACAAGACTGCAAGTTGCTGATTGACAAGGGGCAGTTTGATTGCCTGGGAAAGTCTTCTCAGTGAAACTGTTCCTGAAAAGCAAAAGGAGAGGGGAAGTGCAGTCGTGTCCCTCACTGAAGAACAGCATTGCTAGAACAGAGAGAAGGCAAGTGGAGAAGTATATGACATGGTTTACATGAGAGATTATTGCAGTAAGAAGCAGACAAATGAGATGGAGATTACAGTGGAAGATGAAGAGATGAAGGGCTGATGTGCAATTTGTGAGGTATTGACTTATTGAAGGCAAAGAAGGCAAAGTAGCAAATCCATACTGATAAACTGTAGGCTTCAATATCATTTATATCTTCTGTAATTCTGAAAACAAACAAACAACAAGAAAAAACCTACCAGTAGCCTGGTTTGAGATGATGTTCTGATATATTTTAATTCTGGTAACTACTGTGTAAAGGACATCTGGCAAAACTGTGGATGAAAACTGCATTTTTCAGTACTTTACCACTGTCTAGTTATGAGAAATGAGATATGGCTGGAGTCACCTTTGTGTGGCTTGTGGAGGATGACATATAAGCTGCATGTACATGTATATCTGCATTCAGAGCCAGGAGTGAATGCCTTGGGTGACAGCATCTATAATTCATTTCCAGAGGACAAGCAGACACTGTTTTAAAGCCATTTATGTTCATATAGACTAGTAGAAGTGAAACATGAATACTTTTCATGTTTCATACATTTTATTAATTTGACTATATGTTCACTCTCAAACAGCCCTCAGGTTTGCTGCTGATGAGGGAGTCTTTATGCTTTTATGCTCTACTGCCCAACTGTGCTTTTTTTTTTTTTTTTTTTTACCTCCTTACTTACTGATTTGGATACGATGCCTGTTTGAAATGGGTACAATCAGATAAGATGTTTGTCTTTCCATGGGCCATCTCCTTTCCACACTATAATGCTGTTGCCCAAGTAGAGGGTGTACTCAAAGTTGTTGCATTATGAATTTTTCTTTTTGACTGAGAGCATTGCTGTTGTCATATACCTGGTTGCATGCTGTGAAGTCCTTTGATACCGTTTTATAATGTAATTTCTCAGAAATCTGCAGCCATGCTACTATGTACAACAAAATTAAGACTAGTAGAATAATGCATTTTTTTCTTATTGGCTAACTTACATTTGTGTTTATAATGCTTAAGCTCCTGCTTTAGAACCTGCTGAACTCAGGAATGCAAACCTTGTTTGCCTCTGCAACTGCAGGACACTGCAGTGCTCAGAGTAAGCTTCTGTAAGCCGGTGCTAATGAAGAGATAAAGGAAACATCCCACCATACTACAACGAAATATTTTACTTTCCAAGAGGACAAACAAGTGAATGAATGTTTATTGCCATAGGTAAAGTAGGAAAGCTTTAAGCTTGGTAAAACAAAACAAAAACACCCATCCTGTTTCTTTTGTACATATCCTGTACTTGTTCTTGGGAAGCTTTAAGAAGCTGTTACCTGCTTTGTTCACTAGAAAACAATTATATTCTTGCACAACATCATTAGTCAGAAAACTAACCAATTAAGCAGTGCATTAGGAGTATTAATTTTAATAAGGAGCAGTGTTTAATCACCTTAGAAAGTGGATGGTGTGGGTTTAGCTTGCTAACAGATATTGATGTATTTTTTGACGTTACTTTGAAAACAATGAAGTTCTGTGTGTACTGTGCCTGACTAAATCAGCAGTGTAGCCTACTCTCATACCATGAAATATTTGCAAAGGAGGGAGGGAGGTTCTCTTGCCCTTTGTTTTCCCCATTTAAGGTATCTGTAGCTCAGCAGAGGGTGTAAACTGTCAGGCATTGAAATTTGTATTGGCTCTAAAATGTGTTTTTTTATGAAGAACTGGGTTTGTATGTGTACTGAGTGAATGCTGAAGATCAGAACTGAGTAGAGAAAAGGGGAA